TTGGGACACGAACTCCTCTGTCTCAACCAGCGATGCAGTTTCACAGTGACTGCTCGGTACAATGAAGATTTAGTTTCCACACTGACTGCTGTGTAAGATGAATTGGCTTCATGGAAAGCGGTTTATAGTAAAGCCTTAAAAGTATCAAACATTAACAAGTCAAAATACCTTTTACTAACCAGGAAATACATTCCAAGAAACTCCACACGGAGACATACATATTCTTAGTGTACATTTAAAGTCCCTGCGACTTGAGAGGAGCTGTTCTAATAAAAAAGCAAAAATTCTCTTTGTGTGTGTGTGTGTGTGTGTGTGTGTGTGTGCACGTGTTTCAACAGCTCATATGTTTTTCCTCCCATCTTGCTAAATTAAATGAGATCTTTTGGGGTTAAACTCGCTGTTGCATTCCACAACGCAGTCACTTATAAATTGTAATAATTTATTCAGTGAGTGCTGAGTGTGTGTGTGTGTGTGTGTGTGTGTGTGTGTGTGTGTGTGTGTGTGTGTGTGTGTGTGTGTGTGTGTGTGTGTGTGTGTGTGTGTGTGTGTGTGTGTGTGTGTGTGTGTGTGTGTGCTGGTTGTTGTTGGTGGGGGATCCGGGGGAAACTGCCCTCATCAAACAGAAAACACATCCGTAGTGATGGTGCCTGGCCAGTCCCGTGCCTGTGAGGAACGTATAGTAAGTAAGCTAATCTAGACTCGGGGTGCACATATATGCACCTAATGGTTGTCACGCGGCATTTACTCTCCAGCTCAGCAACATGGAGCAAATTTCACATGTTGGTACGTCTCAAGCATAGACCCTGACTGATCTGTGATTATCTATTTATTAGTGTTTATGGTTAATCACACAGTTACTATCTGCACTCACATAAATTATTATATTATCATAAACTTAGTTCTTATTTCCTTTTTTTTTTCTAATATCAAGCACTACAAGAATTACTTGGTTCATTAGGACTACAAGCCTAATGAACCAACTTCCTGTGGCTTTGGTGGGTGGGGTGGGAGTCTGTTACTGTGGTGCTCTTTATGGGGCTCCCTCTCTGGATGTCTGGGGCTCAAATCTCCTCCATCAGACTCACTATTGGACACTCTTCCAGGTCTAGAAGTGGATTCCTTGCACCCAGTCTCTGCCTGTTGGGTTGCAAAATAAACCAAAAGCAGTTCTAATAACATTTTTAAAATTAGGCGGTAGAGAATCAGAGCTGAAGCTGAAACGCTCCGCCTGTGAGAGTAAATGTGTAAGGCTTGTTTGTTGGCACCCGGACTTTAATTCTGATTGCTTTGCTTCTAGACCGGACACAGAAAAGTACATTTAAACAAAACTGTTGTGACGTGATATCACAACTTCATATATGATTTTCAAATATTGAGAGTGAAATTTCGACTCATGTTTGCAGGACTCCAGCTGAACACTCCATAGCCATGAGCTACTTGCTATCTGATTTACTAACCTTTAAAGCTGGATAGCCGAAACACTTAAACGTGCTGTTGCCTGTTAAATGTGCAGTATGTAAGATTATAGTGAGAGTTTTACAGTGCGAAAATGCCAAAAGAGTCTAATGTTAATCATTTAGAAAGGAAGGTTATACTGAAACGTTTCTTATCCAGCTGTGGGGATTGTCAGTTTTCCTCATTTCAAAACAAAGAAAGGAGGCACTTAACTACTGTTTACCATCAGTGTGTGTGTGTGTGAGTGTGGATGGGTGGGGTGGGGTGGGGGGGTCTCCTGTGAGCTAAAGGTTGGTTCATGCTTGACGTGTCCGCAAGGTCCGCACGGCTCCGCGCGGAAAAGTTGCATCATTTTAACAACCACGCCCCTCCACCGCGCCTCCGCACGGCCCAGAATTTCCGCAACGCGCACCTCGGAAAATTTCTAACCACGTGGACGGACGGACGCGGAAAAACATGGCGGACCGGCAAGAACTAGTACGGCAGAGGTTCGTAAACAGTGTTGGGCAAGTTACTTCAAAACTGTAATGCATTATTTATTACTTGTTACCCTCCTTTTAAAGTAATTCATTACATTACAATATTACTGATTTTAAAATGTAAGGCATTACACTACTTTTGCATTACTCTAAGTTACTTTCAACAAAACAACTTCAGCATGAGTTTGGTAATCTGATGCCTGGTGAACTCATGACAAATCCGGTGGAAGGTATGTGGTGTCTGAGCTAGGACTGCTGTTAAAAACAGTTCTTTAGAAGGATTGTTTATGAAATAAATGAAACAACAAACTGTACTCTCAGCACGCTGTCATCTTAGATTAACTGAGCGCAGTGCTGGACTGACCATAGGGCATAGCGGGCAACTGCCCGCTGGGCCGACCCTTTCATCTTTTATGGGCCGGTGTCTGTTTTTATTTTTTATTTTTTCCTGGCCTCTAGTTGTTGCGGACAACTTGTCCGCGCCGCCCCACGCGACGCCTCGTAAAAGTTGGCGGATTGGCCAATTGGTAATAATACACTCTGGGCTGGACCAATAGCCAGAGGTCTGATGCACCCGCCAGTTGTTTGTGAATCTCAGTAAACAGACAGACGAGCTTAACAAAATGGAGAACAAAAAACGGAAAGGAGGAGCGGAGAAAATTCGACTAAAAAAGAAACTGGCCCTTCAGGCTGATGCTGGCACATGTGTTAAAATCTCACAGTTGTTTGGTAGTGAAGGTTCAAGTAAAATCAATTTAGGAAGTGATGGAGCCTCAGCCCAGCGACAGGTTGGAGAAGAAAAGAGGGAGGAGGAGGAGAAACCCGAGCCGGTGTTGTGCCATAAATTGACTCGCTGCCAAAAAATGATTAGCCACCGCGGGATCGCGCACGGTTAGGTAATTGCATTTCTAGACAAAATTCCCCAGGATTTCGCCCTAAAACTCAGCATATCTAGCAATATGGACATTCAGAAAGCAAAGATAACCTCTTCCGGTACTTAAACAGATGTTTATCACGGATATTAGTGTGGCAGTGTTTGTGGCACCCTGCGCGGGAGCACGAGGACGTGCTTGTGGAAAGAGGGAGGAAGATGTGGCAGTGTGAGCATCCACAATATCCCGATTGATGACGCGCCCTGGCTACTTGGCCAAAGAGATGTCCCTTTGGCTGACTGGTTAGAGCGTATGACTCTCACCCGGGAGTCTGGGGATCGAATCCCGCCCGGGCACTCCTTTCTGCACCTTGCCACATAAGTTTTTCCAGTTCGGAAGTTGTTTTAAGTGTTGCTATTTATCTTAAACGTTCACAATGAGGATATATTAATCCTTTTTGCAATATTTGCGATTGAAAGATGGTTTGTGCCACAAACTTTGTGGTAAGAACTGGCTTTCTTTATGTTACAGCCTTGATACTAAAAAAATAAATAAACAATGTAAAATGGCACCCTGTATTGAATGTAAACGTTGTATAAATGGAAATAAACAATTATCCAGCGATTTAATTTTTTCCCCTTCCTTTCTTTAGTCCACTTGACATGGAGCCACAGTTAACTAGTTTGGGGCACATTTTTACTTGAAAAAAAGTATTCAAAATGATCAAGCTTTGGCTTTACAATGACACTGTGTAGGTTGCTATTCATTACATTGCTCTATTTAAAAGTAACAAGATAAAAGCACTTCAGCACATAAAATTAAGATTGTCACTTGCCAAATAGACTACACCCTCCCGTTTACCTATAAGAAATGCCTCAAAATATCTTTAAATTCTTTATTGATGATTTAATTGTAGACAAATAAAATGGCATTTTACTTGCCAAAAAGTGATTGAATCACTAAGATTTTCATGGAGGCTAAAATTGACCAAATAAGGGTTTTATGTATTATCTGTTGATGTTACTGTACTCATACTGCCCACTGTGTCATCAAATCAAAAACACCCCTAAAATGGCAAAAAAAAAAAAAAAAAAAAAAAAAGGAAGATAATTTCCCTTGCCAAAAATTGATTACAGTGTCCTGGTCACCTGTAAAGGGTTACATTTACCTAAATATTACTTTATTTATTATTTCTTGATGTTATTGGTGCCATCACAGGATGCCGGTGTCTTTCACATTCATAAACACCTCAAAAATGGCAACAAATGATCATTTCCCTTGCCAAAAATTGATTACAGTGTCCTGGTCACGTGTAAAGGGTTAAATTGACCTTAATATTACCTTACTTATTATCTCTTGATGTTATTAGTGCCATCACAGGATGCTGGGTGTCTTCCACATTCATAAACACAGAGTCCTGGTCACCCATAAAGGCTTAAATTGGCATAAATATTACTTCATTTATTATGATGCTGGGTGTGTTCCACAATCATATTCGAATAAACGTGAAAATATTCTGTCCGAATATCTGTTTCTTGTTATAAATATAACAGCTAGAAGGATTTACAGTTAAAATAGGAGAAACACGTGACTCCCCAGGAAGGGTCGTAACACCACTTGCCTCATGCGCATAAGTGAACAAAACAAAGCAGCATGGAGACACTCCGTCTCCAACCACCTCTCAGGCAGCAGCCTGCACTCCCAAGTTCTACACGTCACCAGAACATAAACAACCGCAACACAATAAAAGCAGTGTTATACAAAATGGAAGGCCTGTAGTGTTTATTCTCTTACAGTAACGACTTATCAATTTTTTGGAGGATTTTATTTGAGAATTTTTTGGTTTTTATTAATTGTGCAATAGAAAAGTAATCGCTAGATTAATCATCTAAATAGTCATTAGAATAGTCGACTATTCGATAAAATAATTGTCAGAATAATCATTTTAAAAATAGTCAGTTACCCCCAACCCTACTTTTTAGAATACCAGGATAGGAAGGATGGTGTAGGTTTACGTTTATTAGATTGATACATAAATACTACCAATAAGAAAGTGTACGTTGGTGTGTGTCAGAAACAGCATAAGGCTTAATGTCTTTTCCAAAAAAAAAAAACAGGTGATGGGCCGGTCTCCAGTCAAAATGCCCGGGCTGAATTTTTGTCCCAGTCCAGCCCTGACTGAGCGGCGAGTGAGGTGGTGGGGGCTCCAAGCCTATTTAGCCTTGGTCCCCAAATGCCTTGATACGGCCCTGGATGTGGGACTGACTTCTGGGGTGATCTGATTCTATCACATGTATAAATATTAAATGCTATAAATATTATTGCTTTTCTCTGGTAAAAATGTCTATTGGGGATAAATCTACCTACATTTTTTCTTTTCAAGCACTTTGTTTTGTTTTCTTGATTTTATTTGAATAATTTCCTGCCCTTTCTCTCTCTAACCGTCCTGCATGCTGCATGTTTTCTCCGTCTTCCAGAAAACCTGTTTCCTATATTTCCTACTTTCTAACTAATCAGCCAAAGGGATCTTCACATGCGCGGCGCTCCAGCAGCAATGAGTTGAAATCACCGGAGCCCAGATTAACTCAGCGGAGGCAAAGGACGTCAGAAAAGTACAGAATACCAGAGAACATGCACTGATATGAACGATCGCAGGTGAATTATTTTGTTTTAGTGGAGCGATTTTGTGAATGTTACAGCGCAGGACGCAGCTGGAGTAGTTGAGCCGTCACCGCTGCGTCCTCTCTGCCTGCAAAGCTGAGTCCATATGTGACGTAATATATGCAGATACTGGAACTTTCTTCGGGTTTCCCGCAATTTGAATTTTTAAGAAACGCAGCTTGACTCTGGGTTTAAAAATACATTGTAATTACCGCGTTACTGACAATTGTACCGAGTAAATATTACCATTTTCTTTCCCTGTAATGCCTTACATTACCACATTACAGCAAAAAGCAATGCATTACAGTAATTAATTACTTTTGTACCGTGTTACTCCCAACACTGTTCGTAAATACAGACATTTGTATGATTCAGCTCTCAGAGATCACCGTGATCAACATGTTGTTAATAATTCTTGGAGAGAAATAGTTCACACTGTCGGAAAAGACGAGGACGCTGTTAAAAATGCTGAAATGTCATGTTGTAAACAGTAATTTTTACTTCTACTATGGTGTAGTGTTGGATGCATGCCGTAGAGCTCCATGCTGCCCCATTCAGTTTTGGAGAATATTGGCTCACCGCAGAGACGAGCCCCACGAACCATAAACACTGCGAGTTGTGAAGCGCGTTCCAGTCGCGAGCCGCATCACCAAGCAGAAAGTGAATGCGTCAAGCATAAACCAAGCTTTATACTGCAGCGCCAACAATTGTAATTTGACGACATCCGTCAAAAAGCTCCAGAGTGTTTTAAAGTCGTTGCAGTAACCACATTTTACCACAGGGTGTAATTTTTACTTCATTTCTACATAATGCACCTTTAAGAGTTGCATGTCATGACTTAACCTCAGACCAGATTGCTGTAAAAAGTTTTTTTTTAACCCAAAACGATTACAGATTTGGACAATAATAAACCATTTAAAAATGTGTTTCATTGCAGCTTAGCAGCCGTGCATTCTCAGTGTGATCTGTGATCTGGATATAGACGGTCTTGGTGTTCGGTTCACATCCAGACTGGAGACTCGCTGGTTTAGGTGAAAAGAAAAATCCTATGTAAGCTTGATGTCCAGTACATTGTGATCTGGCAGGCTTACCTTCAAGTTATGAAGTTCATCTGCTGCTTTGATAGAAAAGAGTGTTGTCATGGACACCACAGGGCATCTTAAGGATCGGCTCTGTGAAGGCCGCTCTCAAACCTGTGACAAATCCTGCTGGGATGAACACTTTGGTCTTTTTAGCAAGTCATAAACTGCCCAACTTTTCCAACACATTTCACGCTGACTGTGGGAAGATTTGTTTTGTCTAAAAATCTGCAGAAATTTCTAATTTAGCAAAATTTCTCCTAGATGTTATCTGAGGTGCACCTCCTGTATGAATTCCTGACGTTTAGTTGTTTTGTTGGGTTGTTGCTTGAGACAGTGAGTGTATTCTGTATTGACATCACAATTTGCTGAGACACTGAATACTGCGGCAAGTATAATCAGCCCATTGCTCCCTTTGTGCATCACTGAGCTGTGACCACACATGACCCTATTGCTGCTTCACCAGCTTTCCTTCTTCAGGACATGTTTAGTATTTCCTGACCGCTGCAGGGAGGTGACATAGCTCAGTGTTTCTGGCCCATGTCACAGTTGCTCAAAACATTTTGCCTCTTCATTTTGGCCATTACTTTGAGGCAAATGTGGTCAACCTCAATGAAAAAGTAAGACTAAACACTTAAATGACTTTATCAGCTATTTAGATTTGTAATTTAATGTAAAGGTACCTGTTTTAGATAGAAGGGTCTTAGGCTGGAGATTAGCTTTCCCTACCCACACGGCTAATGAGCTAACAGCTTTGCCGAGAGCAGCCAGAACATCAAGTCTTCTAAATTTCACTGCAGTTCACGTAACACGTTTTAGAAACCTCTACACCACAGTGTATTACACAGGTATTTTGATTTAAAAACAACTAGACATGTAGCAAGGGCTGCGTTTAGCTGCTACGGGTAAAAAAAAACCACATACTTCTAAGCAAATACTCATGTAATAAAAATATGATGTTAATGTATAGCTTCATGAAGATAACTTTAAATAATCCGCTGATTTTAATAGTTTTTAGCCGATGTAAAGCAGCACTTATTGTCCCCACTATTGGGCGACAGTGGCACAGTGCTCGCCCCGTAATCAGAAGGTTGTAGGTTCAAGCCCTGCTCAGTCTGTTGCTGTCGTTGTGTCCTTTGGCAAGACACTTAACCCGCGTTTCCTGCTGGTGGTGGTCGGAGGGACCGGAGGCGTTGGTGTACGGCAGACTCACCTCTGTCATTGTGCCCCAGGGCTGCTGTGGCTATGTAGCTCATCATCACCAGGGTGTGAATAACTGATTGTGTTATAAAGCACCTTGTGGGGCTCCAGCACTCAAATATCAAAAACAGGCCCACTTCTCCCTTCTACTGCCTTGAAAGCAGAATCCCAATTGTCACAAACACATCATGCTGTAGCTAGCGCTAACAATGAGCTAAAGCTAACACAGGCGAACTAACACAACATAAGTAACAAAGGAAAAAGATCCACATCGTTGGACAAAACTATTATTACCAATAGCAACAAAGTAGCAGTCCAGTAGCAACAAAGCCAGGTCACCATCAGTTGTGATTTTGTACCCTGCGTTAGTTCCCTAAAACTAACATAGATGTTCACTCTGGGTTTAGCACTTTGCTTCAACTCCAAAGACATTGTCTCTGACTTTTTCTTCCTGGCTCCACCATGATGCAAACTAAAAAAGAAAAAAATCTTCTTTGTTTTATTGATGGTTGGAAAACTGAAAAAAAGCTAACTGCTAGCCATTTTATTAGCTACCGGCACAGTAGAGTTAAAATTGAAGTCCCACTAGTTTTCACACTAGTGTGAGAAATTTGCTCTCCACATTTGACCCACCACCTGGGGGAACGGCGAGCTGCAGACACAGCCGCGTTCGGGAACTATTTGGTGATTTGACCCTTTAATGCTGAGTGTCAAGCTGGGAGGCACTGGGTACCATTTTTAAAGTCTTTGGTATGACCCAACCGTGGATTTGAATCCACAGTCCCCCTCTTATTCCCCCAGGCCACTGAGCTGGTCGACAGCTGTTGACTTAAAGCAGGTATGATTTTAAAATCGCAAAACCACATTTCAAACCACAAAACTGTTAAGTTTGGTTTCTGGTCAGCGGAGGGCTACAGAGTGCTGTTCCGCTGGTCAGGTAAGATAATGTGTAAACGCTCTTTAGTTTTGTAATATAATGTGCTCTTGGCTGGGCCCATCCTAGCCATTAGCTCATCAGTCCTGTAGGAAGCAACATTATTTTGTTTAAATTTGAGACTGTTCATCTATAATCAGTAGGGCTGTAGCAAAGCCTCGACGAAGTCGACGGCTCGATTCTAAAAATTTGTCGACGTCAGATCCGGAAGTTGACGCACCACGCCCACTTGTTGCATGCCCAGGAGTTTGTAAATAGAGGAGGAATCGGCCTGTTTTTCCTCTAGTTCGCCCTCTTCTCCGCCTTCACTAACGTCTCTGCCAAATACCGAAGACCCGGAACAATGTCCGTCCACTACTAGATTATTTTCCTGTTTTGCCCGCCTTTGTCTCCCGGCAACGGACAACAACTTCCGGGGTCAGATGCGCTGCTTCGTGTCTATCGCAGATGTAGAAAATCACCGGGAGCTCTTCTCCCTTCATTAAGGAGCTTCTTTCAGACATTAGGAGAGCTGTTCTGGTGGTAGCAGTCTCTCCTCCGTGCTGGTCTGTTTGCTGCTGGGTGTTTTTGGTTTATTTAAACTTGGTAACTTGAACTTAATGTTGGTAAAGCTACTGTTAGCATCTTCGCTAACAGCTTCTTGCGTTTGGATAAGCTGTTACGTTTTAGTTTAGAGTTCATCTTTTTTGTGGTGTAGATCTCCCTTTTATTACATTTAGAGTGTTGTGGGTTTTCGGTTTAGTGTAAAATATCACCTGAGTTTGGTTTAACCCGTAACACCACTCGCCTCACGCACATAAGTGACCAAAACAAAGCAGCATGGAGACACTCCATCTTCTACCACCTCTCAGGCAGCAGCCTGCACTCCCAAGATCTACACGTCACCAGAACATAACCAACCAACACAATAAAAGCAGTGTTATACAAAATGGAAGGCCTGTAGTGTTTATTCTCTTACAGTAAGAATTTATCAATTTTTTTGAGGAATTTATTTGAGATTTTTTGGTTTTTATTAATTGTGCAATAGAAAAATAATCATTAGATTAATTTTCTATATAGTCATTAGAATAGTCGACTATTCGATAAAATAATCGTCAGAATAATCGTTTTAAAAATAATCGTTTACCCCCAGCCCAATCAGTAATACGTTTTTTTTTACAAATCCGACACAGACACACACTTCTAATGTAAAAGAAATCCCATTAAGTCTTTTCCTTTCGTCCTCTGCCCTCTTATTTCACGCTGCCAGCATCACTTTCTCTCTGACTCACTATGAATCTGCAGACTACTTCCCTCTACGCTGACATGTACTGCTGCTGTCAACTTTTGATAAAAATCAATTTTTCATCCTTCGTATGTAACAGGAAAGGCATAAAACATACAGATTTGTACTCCTTTATTTCCATTTCCCCCCTTTAACCTCATGCTCCTCATATCTTCCTTACTGTGACACTCAAGTTCCCTCTCAGCACATTCACTAGTGTGCGTAGCCTGTCCTTAGTTGACTTAACATGGTCTGACAGACCAATCCCTGTGGATTCTGATCAAATAGAGCAATAGCATACACAGCAGCAACAGTGCAGCCTCAGCCTGCTAAAACAGCAGCTGTAATATGGCAAAGATCAGCGTCCTGCAGGACTGATTCAACACGTTTATCTGCTGATTCTACTGTGGTGCACAAACAAATAGAAATTGCATAAGGTTGGTAATAAAGTCATAGCATCAAGGTGTTTGAGAAAAAGACTGAGAGGCTTTTTTCCTCTAAGAAAAACTTAGATTTACTGTTTCCTCAGTGACTACCTTATTTGCCATTAGAGGTGACACATTTATGAGTGAAAAGAAAAGATGGGATGGTTGTGTTAAAATTGGTTTAGATTCATTTCTAAAACCACAGAAATTCACTTGAATCCCCTGATATTACAACACAAACCCCAGCGGCTCGTGGCGGCTTTTCTGCTCATACTGAGGCGTCTTGCTGTTTTCCTCTCCACTGTCGCTACATGCTTGCTTAGTATTGACCCATTGCACCAACGTCACCTAATCACGTGGGTCCACCACGGTGGACGGCAAAAGCATGTAAACAGTGAGCGGCACGAGTACTAAACAAAGGGAAAAGTAGAGCCTGAAATTGTTTTTGCGATCAAAACCAAAACAAAACTCCTCCAGCATTCCTTCAACTAGTTCATGCCCAGTTCAGTTATCAGAAGAAGTAGCGCATCTAGCGGGGGCTCTTAGAGAGCGGTATGCTAACTAGCGGTATGCTAACTAGCTTACCAGCATTAGCTTACGTTCTCTCTGCAGCTGTTCACCGATGCAAACATGTTGCTGACTTTGCCTAAATTCACCCCTCTGGATTTATAACTTTATGTTATAAACAGCGTTTCACTTTACACCAAAGCTGATTGTTAGAAAGTCCGGATCCCTACCAGCTTCTGTTGCTGGTGGTGTTACTGGGTTCAGCTGCTGCTCTCACACCGGAATGAGAAGATCTCTGAACGCCGACGCTCATATAAATAAATAACGTAATTTTAACACACGTAATCATACATCGGAGCTTTAATGTTGTTAATAATTGTCTCACTTTACACTGCAGTGGACGGAGCGCAGCCTCCGTGGTGAAATACCGTCCATCAGGATTATCAGTAGCTAGTAGAAACACATCACATTTATCCCTGTCCCTGTCTTCCTCGCGAAATAAATGAACGTTAATCTTACCCGGTAAAAACATGTTCGCTGCTAATCTGAGGGCTGCTAGTCCGCTTGATTGATCACTGCAGTTCATCTCCGTCCTCAGTCTCCATCAAAGTTATTAAAAAAACAAAACGAGTTGAGTTTACATCCTTGTCTGTTAGTGCAGCCGACCACGCAGCAAGCTAAAACTGTTTTAATGTCAAATCAACTAAATAAAAGATATAAAAGGCTACAAACTGGCTTGTTTTGACTACTTTCACTGGAGTTTCTACGGGTATAAACGGTCTTTTTGCCGTCCATCATGGTGAAGGGGGCGGTCACATGAGTGGCGTGACGTCACGTGCAAAGGGTCATTAGGGTTTGCTGTAAAGATTCTGACACAACTAGTCAGTGACTCAGTGCTATCTGCTGGGTTTCCTTAGATAGGAATATTTTAACTGACTAGAATAATGAATGGAATTCAATCGGAACGTTTTCCCGGTAAAGCGCCTCTGTGATTATTTTGAGTGATAATAGCTAAGGTATCATAACTAAAGAGAGGGCTGAAGATGATCCAAACTATAAGATGTTTTCCAGTTTACCAGTAGACATGGTGTCTGCCTCATGCATAGAAACTTGAAGCTGGTTCCACAAGAAAGTATCCTGGGAACTGAAAGTTATGCCTTCCATCCTACTTTTAGAAACTCTATGAACCAAACCTGCAGTCTGAGAGCCAAGTACTCTGTTGGGAACATCTGGAACAATAAGAGGACAAAGAAGAAAAAGAAAGGTACCTGGTGGATCCTTCCTCGTGAGCTCAATCATAAAGAAAAGTGCCCGGGTTCCCTGAACACACCATCAAGAGGACTATTTATATTTGTCCTTGATAGAAACTGCATTGCCATCAAAATCAAGTTAATGTAAACATAAAATCTTCACTTGTATTGATTTAGTGTTTCAAGCCAATGTTTCTAGAAGACTTTTCATAATATGAGCTCCCTGAGAGGGGCGGAAACCAAGTCTGTAAAATAAAATAAATCTGACGTCTTTTACTCTGAACACAAAGTCAGTGTTTGTATTTTCACTCATTTCTGAAAGGAGCACAACTAACATGGAGATTGTTAAAAAAAATTACCAAGGGCCAACCAGAGCGTTATCAGCTGTAAAAACACACAACCAGTTAAAACCAGCATCAATAAGAACATAATGACATAAGCAGAGGCCTTTTGCAGACAGTTGAAGACACCAACGTAAAGCCAGGATGTCAGTTGAATATTTTTTGTTTTTGGGCGTGACAGCGGGCTTTGATACGGTTGATCATCGGGTATTGCTGATTCGCTTGGAGCAGTGGAGGAAATGGGGCATGTTCTGGTGCACCCTCACAATGGAAAATAACATTTCTTTCCGACAGAACTTATTGTGTCAGCTTGGGACATTTCTCCTGCAAAAGAATCCCCTGATGTGGGGAGTTCCTCAGGTGTCACTGCTAGGCCCTCAGGTTTTTTTTCTCTACTTCCTGCCTTGTTGCTTCAAAAGCACAATATTAGTTTTCATGTATACGCCAATGACTGTCAAATCTATGTGGCTGTCCAGCAGCAGTTTGGGAGTATGATTCGGTCATTAATAACATGTGCATGGTTGGTATCAAATTTTCTGAGCTTTAATGAGAACAAACAGAGGTAAATGTCTTTTTGCTTAGTAATTGTCAGCGTCATTTTCTTGACTTGTCATTGGCTCCCAAGATAGAGACTGTTGTTGCCTCCCCGGGTGTAAAACTGGGAGTGGCATCGAAGCTAGACCACCAGGTCAAGAATTTTTTCAGCTTTTACACTTAATGATTAAGTCGCTACTCTCTAAAGCAAATCTTGAGATTGTGACTTATGTAACTCTCTATGCCAGGTAGAGTTCAGTCGTTGCTGTTTAGGTTACAATTGGTGCCTAATTCTGCTGCTAGGTCTTGTCGGTGGACTTAAAAGATGGGACCAGAGCCCTGATTCTGGCTTCTCTGCAATGGCTTCCTGTTCGGAACCAATTTAATTTTAAGGTCTTCATTTCAAGTCTCTTGCTGGGAAGGAGCTGTCCTATCTCTCATCAATGTAATCCAAGTACTTGCCATCATGGTCCTTTCGCTCAGCAAAGTGTGGTCATTCAGTAACCTGGACACTCAACAGAAGACCAGGGGGGACTGTGCTTTTTCAGTTTTGGGCCTGAGGTTCTGGAACCATCTCTCGCTCTGCTTTAAACAGATTCTAACTGTGAGGGATTTATCTCCTCACTAATAGTTATGTCTTGTTTCTGTTTACTCCTGTATTTTTGTGTGTTTTAGGTCAAATACACTTGGTAATCTATAAATTACTTTAAGTTAAGTTGATCTACTGGTGTTCATCACTCCCTTCTTTCTGAAGTCATTTGTTTAAGTGTTGCCATGGAAGCGCGCCCATAGGCAGCCATGATCAGTTCCTGGTGTGCTTAATCAGCTCTACTGAGGGAGAAACTAACTGACTGAAGAGAAGGGGGGAGAGGAGGTTATCTTGTGTTTGTTTAAGTGTAGTTGTTCTTGGTTTTGTTATTTTGAGTTAAGGTAGGAGGTAAATATGTAAATAGATTGTTTGACATATTTTGTTGATGTTGATGTTGAGATGTACTTTATTGATTGCAGGATTTCAAGCTAATTGTTTCCCCTGCCCATGTCATAATGGCTGGTCCCAAGTTAGCTTTAAAAAGGGTGGATTCAGTACTGTTGGGGTGGTTGATTGCTTGTTAAGGGGAATCCATGCCCCAATGTAATGGATTGTTTGCAATCAAAAAAAGGATAAAAAGTCAGAGCTCTGCAACATCCTGGACTCTTGTTTTTTCTTCTGTGGACAAACCGCTGGTAACATCCTGAGTGAGTGACAAGGCAGAGGCTCTGTCTGGGCCAAAACCTTACAGTTGGTGGCAGAGGTGGGATGTGGCGCTGATGTCGAGAGCTGTCCAGAAGGAGTGATCATGGGTCCAAAGCAGCAGTCAAAGAGCAGCAAGGCTGTTGAGGCGGAAGCAGTGGAGGAGATGGAGCAGGAAATGGCTACGGGGCGGCCGGCCGTAGCTACGTTCACCGGAGAGGTGTCCCCACTTTCAGCGGATATGAGCTCTATTGTTGCAATGCTGCAGAAATGCCTACAGTCCCAAAGTGAGTTCGCTGACAGATGGGAAAAGGAAGCAATCAAGCAGGAAAGGAGATGGAGTCAAGTTCAAGTTCAAGTTAATAACCTCCGAGATGACCTGGACGGGCAGCGGGGAAGTGAACATGATCCTCAGCCAGGCCCTTCGTCTCGGTCAGAGGGGGGCTCGAGCCCCTCACCGCCAGATGACGAACCCTCCGGTGGTGAGTCAGCAGCGAGAGGATGGTCTCAGCCGGCGGTGCCAAAGCTGGAGGAGGGGGATGACATTGAACAATATCTGACGACCTTTGAACGATTAGCAACGGCATACCTGTGGCCAGAAAGGGACTGGGCAGTGAGGCTGGTACCACATCTTACAGGAAAAGCCCGGGCAGCCTATGTGGCCATGGCTTCAGAGGACTCTTCTGAATACATCAGAGTGAAAGAAGCCATCTTGACAAAGTATGAGATAAATGAGGAAGTATACCGACAACGGTTCCGAGAGCCTGATGTACGTGGAAGCGAGACGCCTCGGGAGTTCTATAATCATTTGAAAGATCTTTATTTCAAGTGGATGCACCCTGAAAGGAGAAGAAAGGAAGAGATTGGTGAAATCCTCATCCTGGAACAGTTTTATCGTTCTCTTTCACCTGAAATCAGGGTGTGGGTTAAAGAGAGAAATCCAACTTCAGCTCGGAATGCAGCAGACTTGGTGGAGAACTACCTGGCTGCACGCCGGGGACCAAAGACCTTCAGGTTTAGCCTTCAACAGAAGTCCAGTCCTTCACAGGGTAAGTCTGGGGGGTCTGGTGTGGGTGGTGGTCCAGGGCAGATGGCAGGTAGGGAGAAACAACGACAGGCAAGTGTTCCCTTTAATAAAACTACGCTACCAGCAAAACCTGTGGTTTGTTATGTTTGTGGTCAAGTAGGACATATAAAACCTGACTGTCCTTTAAGGAGAGCTAAATCTGCATATTTCTGCACAGTTCCACGGCCAGCTTTTGCACAAAATCTGCAGCAGGGGAGAAAACAGCTGCTGGAAATTAAAGTGGATGGAAAACCAGCAACTGCCTTGTTAGATACAGGAAGTATTCAGACGTTGGTTCATCCTTCCCTTTTGACCAACCAGCCCTACTTTGAAGGCCCTGGCCTCAATATCTCCTGTGTTCATGGGGATCATAAAACTTACCCCACAGCTGTCGTGTTTTTGGAGGTTGTCAACCAAACTTTTCTCCTAAGTGTGGGTGTAGTGGCAGGTTTAGCCCATCAGGTAATTTTGGGGCAGGACATTCCCATCTTACAGGAGTTGGTTCAATCGTGTAAACCCGTGTATGTTGTAACCATATCACAAAGTAGAAATCAAACTTTAGCTGATGAGGATGGTTCGGAATCTGAACGCATTGGGGACAAGATGGGACCAGACCAGCAATGCGGTTCTGGGAGTGATGGTGAGCAACATTCTTTGCGTGAACTGCCGTTCTTTAAATCTGAGCTCCCTACAGAGCACCCTGTTAAGGCTAGGAAGAGCAAAAAGCAAAGGTGGCTACTTAAAATGGCTGGTACTGTTAAACACACATCTCTGGGGTTTCCGGAAGTTGATGTGGATGGGGTGGATGAACCAGTGGACTTCAAGCAGTTGCAAAAGCAGGATGAATCACTACACAGTTTTTTTGAACATGCAGTATCAATTACAGAGAAGGATAATGCACATCCCAATGGGGAAGGATATGTTCTGACAGATGGGGTGCTTTTTCACAAATCTAGAGGAACAGGGTCAGAGAAACTAGTGGTACCTAAAATGCTTAGGGAACAGGTTTTAAAGCTGGGGCACAGTATTCCATGGGCAGGGCACTTGGGTTTCAAGAAGACTTTTGATAGAATCTCAAATAGGTTTTACTGGCCAGGCATTCAGAAGGAGGTGCAGCAGTATTGCCAGTCATGTCCAGTGTGCCAGATGTCAGGAGGAAAGAATGTTCCCAAGTATCCCCTGCAACCCCTGCCTATTATTGATGTCCCCTTTAAAAGAATAGGTATGGACATTGTAGGACCCCTTGAGAGAACCCAAGCAGGGAATTGCTTTATCCTGGTTATATGTGACTATAGCACGCGTTACCCTGAAGCTTTTCCTCTTAGGAACATCACTGCTAAACAGGTAGCCTATGCATTGCTCCAACTGTTTTCTAGGGTGGGAATCCCAGCAGAAATCTTAACTGACCAAGGTACTAACTTTTTGTCCAACACACTGAAGCAAATCTATAGACTGTTAGGCATTAAGGGTATTCGGACCACCCCCTACCACCCCCAGACTGATGGTCTAGTGGAACGTTATAACAGGACCTTAAAGAGCATGTTAAAGAAGTTCATTTCCATCAATGGGAAAGACTGGGACAAGTGGTTGCCCTATTTGCTTTTTGCATACCGGGAAGTCCCTCAGGCTTCCACTGGGTTTTCACCATTTGAACTTCTCTATGGCAGGCAGCTAAGGGGTCCTCTGGACATCCTTCAGGAGTCATGGGTTGGGCCAAGGGGTGAGCCGACTAATGTTGTCAGTCATGTTTTGAAAATGAGGGAGAAGATGGAGGAAGCAACCAACCTTGTGAGGAACCAACTGGAAAGGGTGCAACAGCAACAACAAACCTGGTATGACAAGACAGACAGGCAGAGAGTCTTCAACCCAGGTCAGAAGGTTTTTTTACTACTTCCTACATCTGATAATAAACTGTTGGCGAAATGGCAGGGTCCGTATACTGTGTTGAGGAGACTAGGTGGGACCACCTATGAGATTGAGATGCCTGAGAGGAGGAACCCAAAGCAGGTTTTCCACATCAATCTTCTCAAAAAGTGGAAATCTCGTGACCCCCCACTTTGTGAGCAATGTTTTGTTCAGAAGGTGGAAGAAGAGTATGAGGTGGAGAGAGAGTTGCCACCTGTGAATGACAGTCCAGCCTCACTTGATTTGTCCCATCTCTCTCTCACGCAGCAGCAGGAGCTGGAGGCCATTATTCCTCCAGATCTGTTTCAGGAGCGACCAGGAACTACAGATCTGGTGCGACATGACATCCACCTAAAGAGCAGCACTCCCATCAGACAACGGATGTACCGCGTCCCAGAGAAAATGCTTCCTGTGCTCAGAGATGAAATTGAGGTCATGTTGAAGCTTGGGGTGATTGAACTGTCTAATAGCGAATGGAGCAACCCCGTGGTTCTGGTAATCAAAAAGGATGGGAGTATTCGTTTCTGTATTGACTTCAGAAGGGTGAATGCACAGTCAGATTTTGATGCTTACCCATTGCCGAGACTAGATGATCTTATAGAGTGTGTGGGCCAAGCCAAATACATAAGTACTCTGGATCTCTGTAAAGGGTATTGGCAGGTGCCTTTGACTGATGCTGCTAAGCCTCTCACTGCTTTTAGGACCCCTCAAGGACTGGCAGTTCACAAAGATGCCTTTCGGACTCCATGGTGCGCCAGCCACCTTTCAGAGGCTGATGAGCAAGGTGCTGTCTGGTATGGATTCGTTTGCTGCGGCTTACCTTGATGATGTGGTTATCTACAGCAACACATGGAAAGAACATCTCATCCACCTGAAGGAGGTCCTGCAGAGGATAAAGGAGGCGGGCCTGACCATCCATCCCAAGAAATGTTGCTTGGCCAAGAAGGAGCTTCAGTATTTGGGCCACACCCTGGGACAAGGGGTTATTAAGCCCGTGAAAGACAAAGTTGATGCAATTAAAGCAGCTGCAAGGCCAACCACAAGGAAGCAGGTGAAGTCCTTTCTGGGCTTGGTAGGTTGGTATCAGCGGTTTATAAGGAATTTTTCTGCCAGAGCTGCCCCTCTCACCGATCTCACAAGTACGTCTACAACAAAGATTGTGTGGGGAGAAGAACAAGAGTTGGTGTTTCAAGATCTGAAAAATGTGCTTTGTCAGGATGTTGTACTTCAGAGCCCCAACTTTAACTTGCCTTTTGTTGTTCAGACTGATGCCTCCACTAGAGGGATTGGTGGAGTCCTCTTGCAGGGAGAAGTAGTGGAGAGGAAACCGGTGGCATTTGTCAGCAGGAAGTTGTTCCCACGTGAGACCAGATACTCGGCGGTAGAACTGGAGTGCCTGGCCGTTAGGTGGACAATTGATTCTTTCAGATACTACCTATTGGGACGTGAGTTCACCCTGGAGACTGACCATCGAGCACTCAAATGGTTGGAGGTGATGAAGGACACAAACAGCCGTATCACCAGATGGTTCTTGTCTCTTCAACCATACCGGTTCAGGATTTATCACATTCCAGGGAAGGAGAATGGGGTGGCTGACTTCCTGTCTCGCTGGGGGCACAGCGAGTCATCTGAAGGGGAGGGAAGTGTGAGGGATTTATCTCCTCACTAATAGTTATGTCTTGTTTCTGTTTACTCCTGTATTTTTGCGTGTTTTAGGTCAAATACACTTGGTAATCTATAAATTACTTTAAGTTAAGTTGATCTACTGGTGTTCATCACTCCCTTCTTTCTGAGGTCATTTGTTTAAGTGTTGCCATGGAAGCGCGCCCATAGGCAGCCATGATCAGTTCCTGGTGTGCTTAATCAGCTCTACTGAGGGAGAAACTAACTGACTGAAGAGAAGGGGGGAGAGGAGGTTATCTTGTGTTTGTTTAAGTGTAGTTGTTCTTGGTTTTGTTATTTTGAGTTAAGGTAGGAGGTAAATATGTAAATAGATTGTTTGACATATTTTGTTGATGTTGATGTTGAGATGTACTTTATTGATTGCAGGATTTCAAGCTAATTGTTTCCCCTGCCCATGTCATAATGGCTGGTCCCAAGTTAGCTTTAAAAAGGGTGGATTCAGTACTGTTGGGGTGGTTGATTGCTTGTTAAGGGGAATCCATGCCCCAATGTCATGGATTGTTTGCAATCAAAAAAAGGATAAAAAGTCAGAGCTCTGCAACATCCTGGACTCTTGTTTTTTCTTCTGTGGACAAACCGCTGGTAACATCCTGAGTGAGTGACAAGGCAGAGGCTCTGTCTGGGCCAAAACCTTACACTAACTCTGCTAAGTTTTGCTAACCGTGCACTTTCTCTTCTCATCTCCTGGGTCTCATTGCAGTTGTTTTTTGTTAGAAGTGGTTCCGTGTGCTTTTATTTTTAACTGGTTAAAGTTGGTGTGGTTTAATTCCAGTTGTTTTGTCTGCATTATTAACTCTCCATATATCCTATGTTTCGTGCACAGCTCTCTGAGCAGCGCTGACTGACAGAAAAAGGGTTTCTAAATAAATCAAATGCTAAAACCTGATGCTAATATTTACAATATATGTACATATTTGTGTTATGTGTAACAATTTTGATAGATTGGGGACATTTTAAAGATTAGAGTTACTTTCATTCATGTTTATTGTCAGGTACACACAGCAGGATAATCATGCCGACTTGTTGCTAGCCCCGCCTCTTCTTAAAATCTTTGACTTGCACACGATTGCGAAATGGCTCTAAAGAGAATCTTGTCAGATAAGCCTACCTTTTGCGGTGTGTTATGAGCGCTCTGGTGTGCTCAATGGGATGAGATGGATGTCAGAAATCCTATCCAAGTTTTGATTTTCCTGGACAAACAAATGTTCTGCTTGTTTAACGTGACCCGCAGCCAATCAGAAAGTGAGGTCTCAGCAACCTGCAGCTCCTGATTTCTCTGCATTTATTTGTTCACTTTGAAGTCACGTGTAACCTGGTGGGATCCCTGTCTGTTTGGGAAACGTCCGAGAGTTGAATCGGTTTGTGTTTGGGATTTCCAGAGGTGCTGCGTAGATTTATTTCCCACCACATATGGAGTCTTTTATGCTTTTAGAACCGGACGATTATTCAAAAATCGGGCTTAAGTGAAAACCATCCCAGAATCCGTTTTTCGGTTCTCCTTCTAGAAGTCCACGCGGACCTCTGTGTTTTGTTTCTGAGTGCATAGAAATTTCCATCAACAAACGTGGAAATGGAAGTGTAATCTTCTTTTGGCAATTCTCAGACCGTAGTTTGTGGTGTGATGTCGCAGCTGGTCACCAGAGCTAGGGCTCCCTTTGCATGCAGACGCTCCAGAAGGTTATCCTCAGCTGTTTCCATGAGAAGTGTCAAGGCGCATCTTTGATCCAAACCTGCTACAACTTTTCACAAGTCATCAGGGATTGTTCGTGTCACGGCCAGTTTAAACAGCTTCAAATCAGCATCGGAGGGATGGAAGCCAAGAGGCACAACCCAGCTAAGTGCCAGCGTCGCTACATCTATTATGCAGAAATCAAGCTGATGTGACAGTGTGTGGCAAGTTGGAAATGCAGCATTATAAATTCTGTTCTGTGTAATTATGCTTAGATTTAGCCTTGGTGCACATGTTTTACAATGTGTATGTGATAACGTTGAACCAATTAAACAAAGTTTTGCTCTTTTTAACACATTTTTCTAGCATTGATTTATTTTTGTCCATAAGAATACACGAGAAAGATGTTCAGTGTGTTTCAAACACATTTTCTGCCGACTACAGTTTTCAGTGTAGACAGGGAAATGTGCGCTGACCCTCTGTGTGTGTGTGTGTGTGTGTGTGTGTGTGTGTGTGTGTGTGTGTGTGTGTGTGTGTGTGTGCAAGCTCTAAAACGACAGGTTAACCTTTCTGTCCTCTGGGACTTTTCCAATCCCCTCAAAGCAGAAGAAAATGGAAACCCTGTGTGTTCGTGTGAAAAAAAGGAACAATGGAGGCTTCTTCCATCCCTCAGCGTCCTGCTCTCTAGTCTCTTTTCTTTCCCTCCTGCGGCCTCTCTTTTCTTTAACTCTCCATTAATCTCAGTCGGACTTGCTTCATCGCAGCCATGGCTTTACTAATGAAAAGTAGATAAGACATTTCTAATTTCACCTGGCTCCATTTCACACCAAAATACCTGTTTATCTAAGATAAACATTGACACATTTAAATGACAATTAAAATAAACTGACATTAAGATTGCAGGGCAGACAGAAATGCCATAATTTGGTCAGAAACCGCAAAAAAACTAAAATAATAATGATTAGTCGGCATTGCCATGCTGTGTTGGCTGCAGCTGGAAAATTATGATGCCACACTGCACCTCCTCCTTGGCCAGCGACTCCATCCTGGCGCATGTTCTGGTGACTCACACAGCGCCAAAGTCAGGATGAAGCTAGGAGACCACAATTTTCTCTCCTTTCATGGCTGCAAATCAGGGGAGGATGTATGCTAACATTAGGGAGGGGGCCAGGCTGGATCACCTGCTCTGGTAGTAAAACAATACTACAAACATTTGGTTTAGTGTGTAATTATAACAATATAAGCATGGCAAAGTAGTTACAGCTGGTTTACAAAAGCTTTTCAGAAAGTTTCAAAATGAATTATAATGTAAAAAAAGCTTTGATATCTGAGTACTTTATCTCAGTAACAACATGAAAGTCTCAGCATCTCGGTTCAACTTTACTCTGGTTCCACTTGCTTGCTATAAGGGTGGAGTTCTCCCATTGGTTCGCTTGGAGGCCAGGATAATTGAGAAACCACTTTTTACTTAAAAAAAAAATCTGTCACTTTGAGTTCAACACATAGGCTGAACATGAAAATAGTCTCCTACACCTACACCTATCTCCAGCATCCTCTAGCTTCTACTAGAAAATAGATGGAAAAACGCTCGGTTCAGAAAAGCCTGATAGATCTACGTCACGCTGTCGCTTAACATTCATGGACTCACCCATCTTGACTCATGACGGAGAAGGCTGTTGTCATCCAGGAAACAGCTAGTGGATGCTAATGGCTAGTATTAGCAACTCCATCACAATTCCACCACACAGCTGAACTCCTTCAGGCTTGTGTTGTTTTTGGAGATAAAATATCGAAGAGAACTGAGTGATCATTTATTTCCAGCAGCTGTCACCTCCAGAAGTTCTCTGATGACTCGGCCATTGTCAGCTGTGTGTCTGAGGGGAATGACCTGGAGTACAGGTCAGTCATCATGGACTTTGTGGACTGGTGTGAGCGTAACCACCTTCGCTTGAACACCAGTAAGACAAAAGAAATGGTGATTGACTTCCAGAGGAACACTCATTGACATCGGGTCATGAAGGGATGGACATGGTCATGTTGGGGTTATTAGGAGCGAACAATTCGTAAGCTTTAACTTACTTTTGGATTCTTCAATAAATTCTGTAAATATGGGAATATTTACTGATTTATTAATTAATTAAGATATTCTTAGATATACGGGGCACCATTCCCCTTTAACTGGGGAAAATTGAATCCAAAACTCTTATCAGTCTTTCTTGAAGTTCATAGAATCCTCGGAGCAGAGACTTCTCTTCGACACAACAAAGCTACTGGAGATGAAAATCTGAATTTTATAACGTTTAATTAACAATTTGTCAAATGAATAAACAGTGGCATAAATGAAAAATAACCATGTGATATAATAAAAGGATGTATATTCAAAATAATGTTCAAGGCATTTTGTGTGTATGTGTGTGTGTGTTTCTAAAATGGAGTCTGTATGCAAGATGGCTGACCCCTTTGTCTGGCTAAAGTGTGAGTGGCAACTTGCACTTTAACTTCCAAGGCACTTAGAATCATCAGTAACTTAACCTTAAATTCACTCAAAACATTTCAAAGGATCATGAAACAACACAAAGGATTAATCACGAATAATATATTTTAGTTTAACCACGTGGCCAAGCAGAAAACATTTAAAGATACCAAACAATGATCAATAAGCAGTTCATTTATCCAAAATGACCCGGCGGACGTGTTTT